GCTGCCGCATGAGGTGCGAGGGGCCGACAAAGTCAACACCTTCTCCTGCCTCCTGCTGGACCCCTACCAGCCCCCTAGCCCCAAGTAAAAGCCCCGGGGGGACCGGGGCTGGGGCACCCCATATTTATCCCCCCCATCCGTGTGTCCCCAGGGCCAGGGAAGGGGCACAAAGAACCACCCTCCCCCCAGGGCTTGTGTAAATAATAAACTCTGGCAGCAGCGGAGCCGCTTTCGTGTGGCTTTTTGGTCTGTGTGGGGGGGTGACGTTAACACCGGTTGGCCCTGGGCCTGGTGGGACGTGGGGGACCCTCATTAGTGCTTGGGGTGGATTAACATGGCCGCAAGAGGGTGGAGGGGGCTCTGTGTTCCCCCCCGTGTTCCTGCTGGGATCTGTCCCTGTGACCCCACTGCTGGCACAGGGGCTTGGGGACAGAGCCCGGGCTGGCGCCCAAGGCCACCAACGCACCCCTGTGGGGAAGGGGCTGGGCTCAAAGCACCGAGACAACCCTCCCCTTGTGGGCACGTGTGTCCCCCGGGGCAGGGCCAGCCCCACGATGGTATTTAAGGCCCCAGGACAGGGCCTGTGGGCCCAGAGCCGTGGTGGCCGCCCCGGTGCAGCTCTTACTGAGGTGAGTGGGGGGATTTGGGGGTCTGGGGGTGGCCCCCGAGTGTCACTTCAGTGTCCCCATGCTGTGCTCCAGTGTCCCCACAGCGTCCGAGCGTCCCTCGACGTGCCATGACGGTGACGTACACGTCACGCGTGGCCACCACCCGCTTTGGGGGCTTCTCACGGCTGCTGCTGCTCTGGCGTGGGAGCATCTACAAACTGCTCTACCGGGAGCTGCTGCTCTTCCTCAGCGCCTACCTCGTGCTCAGCCTGGCTTACCGGTGCCTATGGACGTGGGGGGGCATGGGGGGATATGGGGGGACACAGGATGCAGGGGGAGATGGGGACATACGGGGGGACACAGGGTGGAGAGGGACACATGGGGTGCAGGGAGACACAGGGGTGGGGGCTGCTGCTGACCCCCCCCGTGTCCCAGGTTCCTGCTGTCGGAGGCGCAGAAGAGGCTCTTTGAGAAGCTTGTGCTTTACTGTGACAAATCGGCCAACCTCATCCCTGTGTCCTTCGTGCTGGGTGAGGCCCCAGTACTCCCAGTACTGCTCCCAGTGGCCCCAGCACCCCCTCCCAGTGCCCCCAACAGCCCTCCCAGTGTCCCCAGCAGTGGTCCCAGTGCTGAGTGGTCCCAGTATCCCCATTACCTGCTCCAAGTGGCCCCAGTTTCAGACAGCACCCATTTCCAATGCCCTGTTTTCCCCAGTACACCCTCTTCCAGTGTCCCCAACACTGCCCCACTGCCCCCAGTTCCACCCCTTTCCAATGCCCCCAGTTTTCCCCAGTGCCCCCAGTTCCACCCCTTTCCAATGCCCCCCGTGCTCCCTCTCCCAGTGCCCCCTCTCCCGGCTCCCAGTTCCCCCCAGTTCCACCCCTTTCCAATGCCCCCAGCTCCCTCTCCCAGTGTCCCCAACACCGCTCCAGTGCCCCCAGTTCCACCCCTTTCCAATGATCCCCGTGCTCCCTCTCCCAGTGCCCCCTCTCCCGGCTCCCAGTTCCCCCCAGTTCCACCCCTTTCCAATACCCTAACCCCCCCTCCCAGCGCTCCCCGTGCCCCCGTTGCCCCCGCATCCCCCCGCGCTGCCGCCGCAGGTTTCTACGTGGCGCTGGTGCTGGAGCGCTGGTGGGGGCAGTTCCGCGCCGTGCCCGCTCCCGACGGGCTCATGCTGGCGGTGGCCGGGAGCGTGCACGGCGCGGACGCGCGCGGGCGGCTGCTGCGCCGGACGCTGCTGCGCTACGGGAGCCTGGCGGCGCTGCTCGTGCTGCGCGCGGTCAGCTCCGCGGCGCGCAAGCGCTTCCCGACCGCCGACCACCTCGTGCAGGCGGGTGAGCGCTTGGGGGGGGCGGCGTGACGTCACGGGAGGGGGACCCGGCACGCTATGGGGCAGGGGGGTGCCATCGGGGGGGATGGCACCTGGGGCGATGATGTGGGGCAGAGCGATGGTTATGGGGTAGGGGGACGGCACTGGGGATGGCACCTGGGGGCCGGTACTGGGTGGGGTTTGTCCCTCTTTCTGTCCTCATGTCCCTCCACGTCCCTTATGTCCAGGGAGAGAGCTGGGGACACTGGGAACAGTGGGAACACTGGGGGAAGGTGCTGGGGACACTGTGGGGACAGTGGGATGGGGCTGTCCTCATGGCAGTGACATCACCGTGGGGGCAGTGATGTTATGGGGGGGTGATGTCAGCACGTGGACGTCACCCAGCTGCCTTCTGAGCTTCCTCTGCCCCAATGCGGGGGCACCGTGAGGTCAGCGGGCAGTGACGTCACGGGTACGGGGGGGAGGGAGGCGATGTCAGGAGGCAGGGGGGTTGACGTCCCGTTGCGCAGGGTTCCTGACGCGGGGGGAGCGGCGGCGGCTCGAGGGGCTCCGCTCCCCCCACAACCAGTTCTGGGTCCCCTGCGTCTGGTTCACGGCTCTGGCAGCGCAGGCGCGGCGCGAGGGGCGGGTGCGCGATGACAGCGCCCTGAAGCTCCTCATGGAGGTACCCCCCGAGAGCCCTCAGGGACCCTCCGGACCCCACCCAGCAGCCCCAAACCTTCCTGTGTCCCCCAACTGCAGGAGCTGAACCGCTTCCGGGGTCACTGCAGCCTCCTCTTCCACTACGACTGGATCAGCGTTCCACTGGTGTACACCCAGGTGGGCAGTGGGACCACTGGGAAGCAAGGGGGACATGGAGGGGGAGGGAAGCTGGATGGGGTCCTGGGTGTGAAAGGGCATGAAAGGACATGGGGAGACATAGACAGGGATTGGGGGACATGGAGAGGACCCAGAAGGGATGGAGGGACATGGACCAGGAGACAAGGGATGAGGGGACATGAAAGGATGTGGGGGGACATGTCAGGGGTGTAGGAGGACAAGAACAGTGGAAAACAGGGGTGACCTGGAGGGATACAGATGAGGGTGGAAGGACATGGGGGTACATTGACAGGGACAGAGGGACACGGAAATCAGGCAGGGATGGAAGGACGTGGGGGGACACGGAGGGGACTGTCCCCTGCTGCAGGTGGTGACAATCGCCGTCTACACCTTCTTCGTGACGTGCCTCATCGGGCGGCAGTTCCTGGACCCGGCCCAGGGCTATGCAGGCCATGAGCTGGACCTGGGGGTTCCCGTCTTCACCCTCCTCCAGTTCTTCTTCTACGTGGGGTGGCTCAAGGTGGGACCAGGGGGGAGATCACACATGGTGGCCTCAGGGGACACAACGGCGGCCTCAGGGGACACAGTGGCCTCGTTGCAGGTGGCTGAGCAGCTCATCAACCCCTTTGGGGAGGACGACGATGACTTTGAGACCAACACACTCATTGACCGCAACTTCCAGGTATTCCCATCCCGCTGCCACTGGGTGTCCAGGATAGGGCCCAGGTGTGAGCATGGGAGCCAAGTCCGTGCCGCAGGTCTCCATGCTGGCGGTGGATGAGCTGTACGGGGAGGTGCCGGCGCTGGAGCGAGACAGGTACTGGGACGCCGCCAGCCCGAGGGTGCCGTACACGGCCGCAGCCGCGCCGCTGCGCCAGCCACCGTTCCGCGGCTCCGCCTGTGACATCACGTACGTGGGGATGGGACCCCCCCCAACCCTCCTCAACGAGGGCCTCTGGGGTACCCCTACACCTCTGGAGTTCCTTCAGCCACCCCAGAATCTCCCCAGTGTTCCCCAACCCTGCTGAGACCTCCCAGCTCCCACCAGGGACCCCAAGGTGCTCCCAGGGACCCTTGAAAGCCACTCCTGAGGAATGGGGGTGTCCTTTATGGGGGGGGGGTGCCAGGGGTGACTCTGGGGTGGTTTTGGGGTGACCTCGATGTCCTGCAGGTTGGCCAAGGAGGAGATGCAGTTCGTGCCACTGGAGGATATTGGGGAGACCCTCGAGTCCCAGCTGGGGAATGGGGACAGCCCAAGGGGAGACAAAGCCACCCTGAGGGACATGCCAGGGGGGGACAGTGCCCCCCATGAGCACTGGCTCCTGCACCCCAGTGCTGATGACATGGTTTAAAGTGGGGGGGGGATACCCAAAACACACCCTTCCAGCATAGCTCAGCCTTATACGAGCCCCCCAAGAATGTCTACCGGGAATGGATCTCCACCTCGTATGTCCTGTGGCTTTATTGAAATGGGTTTGGGGCACAACAAGACCCCTCCTCGAGCCCCATAGAAAAGGGGTACGAAACATGAAATGCTAAAAGCCCCCCACAAAGAGGGGTGCAGGATCTGTGCTCCCCCCCAAGCCTGTAATGTCTAAAATGGGACCAGCCCAGAGCAAAGAAGAAGCCCCAAAGTCAGCAGCTGGGGACACCCAAAGCCCCATCAGTGGTTGGGGGGTGGCTGTGGGTGGTCCCAAAACCCACAAGAGCCATAGGGAATCCCAGCATCATGGCCCAAACCTCCCAGTTCTAGTCACCCCACCAACAGCCCCCATTTACAGCCCCCCCCCAATACCAACCCCTTCCTGTTGTATCTCCACCTCCCCTGTGGTATCTGTGTCCTCCAGGGGGTCCCCATGCCCCCCACAGGGTATGTGTGCCCCCCCGAAGCCTTTGCCCCTTGGCCAGGATTGGGGTCCCCATGGTTGGGAAGGTGGGATGGGGCTTGGGGCCAAGAAGGTGGTGGTTGGGACCAGGTCCCCCATGCCCGAAGCCGGAGTCATCACCTTCCTCCCTCCCATTCCAATGGAATTATTTATTGGGTGTTGCTGTATACCCTGGGAATTGCCAAGAGGGGACCAGGGTGCCCCCCCCCCCCAGCAACCCATTGGCACCAAAACGCTTCAAACTCCCCCAAACAGTGTGACGATGGGGAGGGGGGGAACATGGCAGGGATGGACAGACACAGAAAGAGACCCCCAACCATCCGTCTCATTGGGAATGCCAGGGGGATCCATCCCACTGGGGATGCTGAGGCTAGGGGGGATGGATGTTCCCGGTTACGGCTGTGTGAGCTGGATGCCGTATACCTCAGCTTGGCCGCGGTGCTGCCGGTGCAGGCAGGCGGCTTCCAGCGAGCCCTCGGCGTCCCGCACGTTGTATTCCCCCTTCTTGCACGCCGTTGATTTGAGGTAATAACCCCCGGCAGCCGCCAAACCCACCGCGGTAACGGCACCCACCGAGCCCAGCGACGCCACCAGAACCAGCCGGCTCTCTAACGGGAGGGCAAAGTGTCGGTGGCACCTCAGTGGTGGCATCACCCCCTTGTTTCCCTGTAGCCCCCAGCTCACCGTCCACCCGCACCAGGATGCTGCCGGCCTGCCAGCCGTGCCGGTTGCTTGCGGTGCAGGTATAAAGCCCCCTGTTAGCGGCGGCGGCCCCGGCGACAGCGACGCTGCGGTTACTGGCACCGAAGCGGAGGTTGGGAGCGGGGGGCAGCACCCAGCCATAGGTGGGGGGGGGCAGCCCCTCGGCGCGACATTCCACACTGAAGCTGGTGCCGCGGGAGACGGTGGCCGAGGGCAGGACGCGCAGGGTGACAGTGCCTGGGCTGTCTGCACCGGGGGGGGCACCAGCCCTCACCCAAAGCACAGCCCCGGAGGCAAAAAACACCCCCAAAAAGCCACTTTTTTTGCACCCCCCCAAACTCCTAACACCTGAGTCCCTCCATTGACACCCGGGTCCCCCCCTGGACCCCCACGTCCCTCCCTGACACCCCTTGGGTCACCCCATCCTTGACTCACACTCGACAGTGATGGTGATGTTGCGCAGGGCTGAGCCGCGGCTGTTGGTGGCCTGGCACTGGTAGGTGCCAGCGTGGGCACGGGTGACATTGGTGCTCATTGCCACGGGGTGGTGGCTGTCCCCAAGCTTGGTGCAGGCGACATGGGGCTGGGGGTTGCCAGTGGCTGCACAGACCAGCTCCGCTGGCGTGCCCTCGACCCAGAGCCTCTGTGCTGGGCATCCGAGCTCTGCCATGCTTGGCTCATCTGCAGGGACATGGTGGCCAAGGCGGTGGGTGCTGAGTGATGATGAGTGCTGCGGCTGGGTATTGGATGATGGGACTGGGTGATAATGGGTGCAGGGACTGGGTTATGATGAGTGCTGGATCTTTGTGATGCTTAATGGGTGCAGGAATAATGACATTTCCAGCATAGCCATGTCCCCAGCCTGGCTTCAGCATCCCCATCCCTGGCACCACTGGCTCCTGTCCCCTTTGGCACTCACACTCCACTGTCACCACCACGCTGCGCACTGCGGTGCCGTGCTTGTTGGTGGCCCGGCAGATGTAGCGCCCGGCATCGGCGCGGTGAACCACCCGGTGCATTCCTGACCTGCCCATGGTGCCACCGTCGCGGGCGCAGTGGATGCTGGGTGGCGGGTCCCCATCGGCACGACATGACAGCTCCCGCCGCTCGCCCTCCACCCAGATCTGGTGCATGGGGCAGCCCCTCTCCGTCAGCGTGGGCTCATCTTGGGGAGGGGGCAAACAGGGCTCGTGGTTAGCGCCGGTGCTGCTGGTGCCACCGCAGCGCAGGGTACCGGTGCCACTCACACTCCACGCGGACAGTGACGAGCTGGCTCTGTGTCCCCAAGCTGTTGGTGGCATTGCATAGGTAAGTGCCGGCTCGGGAGCGGGTGACCAGCTCTGGGACCCTGGTGCTGACAGTGACGCCGTCCCGGCCACACACTACAGTGGGCACAGGGTTGCCAGTGGCGTGGCAGGAAAGAGCTTCCCATGTCCCCCGCAGCCATGTCCGGTTCCCAGGACAGTCACTCGCTGCCAGCTCGGGCATATCTGGAAAAGATATTGGGATGTGGCAGTGGAGCCTGGCTCAAACACCGTTAAACCGAGTTAATTTCAACCAAGTGACTGATCCATTGACTCCACCCAGGTCAAGACAATCAGGAACGCAGGGAGCAGCCATCGACAGAGCAGCACTCACAGAGCACCGAGAGCTGGGTGTCCACGTCCTTTGTCACCGTGGCGTCATTGATGTCCAGGCTGGCCCGGCACCCGAATCGCCGCCCATTGTCTTCACGGCTGGCCACCAGTGGCAGCTCCAGCTGGGAATATGGCCCCTCAGCCAGGACCCCACTGTCAGCATCACGGAGCTGCAGCCACAGTGCCGGGGGCTCGGCAGCACTAATGTGGCACCTCACCAGCACCTCGCTGCCCGCTGGAGCTGACGCCGGGCTCAGCTCCAGGATGGGTGCTGGGAAGCCTGTGGGGAAGGTGCTGGTGGTCCAATGGGATTTCGGGATGGGCTCCTATTACCCCCTCACCCGGTGTCTTACGGTAGACGTGGAGCTGCCTCTGTGCAGTACGCGCAGCTGTGGCCACCGCGGCGGTGCAGGTCAGCTCCTGCGGTCCCACGGTGCTGGGTGACAGCGTGGTGACACTGGTCAGCACATCCCCGGCCACCATCGTGGTGAAGTTCAGGCTCTGCCCAGCCAGTGTGAGGGTGAAGCGGACGTCGCCAGCAGGGAAGGCGCCGGTGAGCTGGCAGGTGGCGGTGCTGGTGGTGCCGAGCTCCAGGCGGGATGGAGCCTGGAGCTGCGGTGGCTCTGGGAGAGCTGCAGAGACGTGGCATCACCGGGATCATGGATCCCAATGGCCAGACACTCACCGGGTGCCAGTGAGGACATGGGGTTGCCGGAAGTGATTCCGGCATGGCCGTGGCCACTGGGTGAAGGCAGGGAGAGATCCAGGAATGGGAAAGGGATTAGAGTTCTGGAGCTCAGCTGGGCAGTCGCAGAGAGACTGGGATGGGACTGGACGGGAACAGATGGGGATGGGAATTGGGACTGGGGATGGGATTGGGGAGGGGATGGGAAAAGGACTTGGATGGGATTGGGGAGGGGATGGGAAGAAGATTGGGATGGGGAAGGGAAGGGGATGGAGACTGGGGTGGGGATTGGGGTGGCACAAAGATGGGAATTGGGGACAGGAATAGGATTGGGATGAGATTAGGATGGAAATGGAGATAAGACTAGGATAGGAGGAGGAAGGAGGATAGGGATACAACAGGGAAGAAGACTGAGTGTGGATGGTAACAGGGATATGGAAATGGGATTGGGATGGAGATCAGATGAGGACTGGGATGAGACAGGATAGGACAGAGCCATGGTGATGCTGAGCTGCTCCAAGCCTTTCCCCTGGCTGGGTCCATGGGCACCAGCACCAGGACTCACCGAACACCGAGAGCCTGATGGGGGTGGCGGCGTGGGCGAAGAGGGGCCCATGTGGCCGCAGAGACAGCTCAGCATGGCAGGTGACATCCTGCCCGTGGTCCCCGGGCCCGGCGCTTAGCATGTGGGTGACAGCCACGCTGGTGCTGCCATTCACAGCACCAAATCTCGCTGTCTGCAGCGTTTCAGCCCCTCGGCGCAATGTCACTGTCAAGTTGCCCACTGGAGCCACCTCCAGCACATGGCACGTGAGGTTCCTGCTCTCACCCACCGCCAAAGCTGGCACCGGATCCAGCACCACCCGCTCCGGTAGCCCTGAGATGTGGTGACACCAAACTATCAACCACAGCCCCCCCTATAAGCAGCACCCTCTTTCCCTTCATCCCGGTACTCACGGTACACAAGGACCCCGGCGCTGGCATTGACTTGGGTGTCACCACAGTGCCCGTAGCACGTGGCACTGCTGGGGTTCCACTGGGACACGTTGAGGAGCCAGAAGCTTTGCCACCGGCGCCCACCGGCCCCCAGAGCCACGGGTAAGGGGGTGTCCAGCCGCAGCGTGGCGTTGCCCCCAGGGCAAGCGCTGCGGCTGCAGTTGATGGCCACCGAGCCCCCAAAGGGAACCACGGCCACCCGCGGCCAGGCCCCCACTGTGAACGCGCTGCAGGTGGCCCCTGCAAGAGCCCCCACCAGGGGACACCCCCTGACGGCTCAGCCTGGGAACCCCCTGGCTGAGGACTCTGGTTGTGAACCCCTCCTCCCCGAAACAGGGTCTCCTGGGGAGCCATCCCCCAACATTAAGGGTCCCTGGAGGCCCCCCAAAATCAGGCACCCGGTGTCAGGGGTCCTAGGGGTCCCTCTTGTGTCCCCCATGATACAGGTATCTGCATGCACATGATACATGTACCTACACACACATGCTACTAAGGAGTCCTTGGTCCCCCCTTCGCCCAGAAATGGGGTCACCTGGGGTCCACCCCTCAGTGTTGAGGGTCCCTGGCATTGGGGATTCCCCCTTCCCACTCCCCATCATGATGGGTCCCAGCATTTGGGCTTTTTGGGCGGTTCACCCTCCTCCCCCCAAATTAGGAGGTCCTGGGCCTGGGTCCCCAGTCATGTGTGCATCCCCCTCCAAGGGCCCTCGGGGTTCCCCTCCCCCCACACATTAAGGGTCCCTGGAGTTTGGGGTCCCCGGGGTCCATCCCACAGCCCCCCACTGGGTTCCTCCTACCTGCAAGTGCCAGGATGAGGGGGGGCAGCAGCAGCACGGCCGTGCCGGGGGGGCCCATCAGGTGCCGGCTGCTGGAGGTGGTGTAGCGAGGAGGAGGAGGAGGAGGAGGAGGAGGAGGAGGAGGGAGGGGGAAGAGGATGATGGAGATGGAGAGGAAGAGAAGGAGGGGAAGAAAGGGATGGAGGGGGAGGAAAAGGAAGAGGTGGAGGGGGCTTAAGAGGAAGATGGAGATCAAGAGGAGGATGGGATGGGGAAGAAGAGAGGGGGGATGAAGGCAGCGTCTCCACGACCACGCAGGGAGGTGCTGGAGATGCTCCTCCTCCCGCCTCCGGCCAAGCACCGCCCCCCCCCCGCTGTGCTCAGTCCTGATCCCACTCCATATATTGCGTGTGTCGGCACATGGATATGTATCGTGTGTGCATGCAGCATAGAAACACGCCCGTGTACCACACATATACAGGTCTATATACCACATGCATGCAAGCATGCATCATGTGTGCATGTGGGTACATGGATCATGTGCATGCAGGTGTGCATTGCATGCACATGTAGCCAAACATAACATTTGCATGCAAGTACATGTCTCATGCACACAGCCAAGCATTATGTGTGCCCCTACACACACTCACACACCTTGAGTACTGTCACCACCGTCACCACGGTGGTTGTCCCAGTGTCCCTGTTCCCATCCCATGCTCCAGCATATCTGGGCCATGCTTCCACCTGGTGCTGCCATACTCATGCTCACACCACTGCCTGCCACTTGGCATCAGGCCCAGGGAATGGGGTGACACCACGTGTGCTTCCCCCCCATCACCCCAATCCCAGCTCCATCCCACCATTCCCAGTTCCCCCCAACCCCGGCTCCAGCCCCTGTCTGTACCCCCAGCCCCTGCCTGCACTCCAGTCTCTTGCCCATACCCCCATGCCTTGAAAACTCCCAGTATAGCCCTGTACAGACCAGTATAGACTCACACAATCCAATACAGTCCTTTGCAGACCAGTATAGCCCAGAATACCCCGGTACAACCCAATGTAACTGAGCACATTCCAGTACAACTCAGTACAGCCTAGTATGATCTACTGGCATCAGATCTACTGGCTCAGTCCAGTGTAGATCTCTAAAACCCAGTATGGACCCGTACAGCCTAGTATTGATCCTTACAGCCCAGTATAATCTATATAGACCAGTATAGATCAGTATAGTCTAGTATAGACCTGTGCAGCCTAGTATTGACCTGCACAGCCCAGTATAGACCAGTAGAATCTAATATAGACCTGTACAGCTCAGTATAGGTCCATCCAGCCCAATATAGACCCTTACAGCCCAGTATAGATCAGCAGAGCCCCATGAAGAGCTATTTTCCCTGTGGCTACCGAGGTCTCAGGGTACCAGAGACACCCCTTCTGGCTCTGGTCACCCCCAGCAGCCAGCAGCTTGTATTGGTGGAACAGGCAGCACTGGCAGCTTCAGCCCCCTGTGTCGGTGCTGAAGCCAATATCCCCAGCCCCGGAATCCCGGGATTCCGGCAGGATTCAGCCCCAGTGATGCACCAACATCCCAGTATGACCACAGCAGCCCTAAAATCAGATTCGCACCGCCTAAAGAATGAAGCTCTGCTAGCAAAGAAGCATCTCCATGATGGGCGTGAGGTTGGTGCCTCATCCAGCGTCCCATTGCCACTGGAATTCTGACACAGGATGGCAGAAGGAGGAGGCGCCTGCCCGGGGCTATACGGCACCCTCCTATCACCACCACCTGCAGTACCGAAATCTGGCCACAAGATGGAAGCAGAGAGCAGCGCCCGGCGCGACACCGCGCCCCCCCCCCCCCCCAACCTCGTTTTGTGGGATGCGAGGCCGGCTCCCAGAGCCGAAGAGCCAGGACAGAAAGTGTGCCACAGAGGTGGCACGACTGGACTTTCAGGTGGGAGGGAAAGCGAAGAGCGGCAGCAATGCGAGTGGCACCGTTGCAGAGCTCTCTTTGTGTACAAGGGGCACACTCGGAGTGGGAGCAGCAGCTGGATGTTAGCACTTCGGAGGTGAGGGACCTCATGCAGCTCTTGGGCCGTTCTGTGGTCAGTTGTGTGATGTTCTGTCACTTCTTAGGTGTCTTTGATCTCTCTTAGCTTTTTGGTTTGAGTGTTTCCTCCTGAAGTGCCAGGAAGGAAAGCTGGTGCTGGGCCTCTTCAGCAGTCAGCTTTGCAACGGTGCCACTCGCATTGCTGTCGCTCCTCGCTTTCCCACCAGACCACCATATCCCTACTTATGCCCCCATAGCCCCCCATGTAGGGATTCCAGACCCCCCCCATGCCCTGTAATTCCCCCATAGACACCCACGTAGGGACTCCAGAGCCCCAAATCCCCCCACAGCACCCCATGTAGGGCAATGGGGTTGGCCTTAGGGGGGGACTGGGGATAATATGAGGCAATGGGGGGGGGCAATAGGTCCAATAGAGGGTAATGGTGGGCAATGGGGGGGGGTGTAATAGGGAGATACCAGGATCTGTCCACTGGGTTGGGCAGATCTGAGCTTGTCTAAATTGGGCTGGACTGGGCTGAATTGGAGTAAATTTTGCTGAGCTGGGCTGAACTGAACTGGGCTAAACTGGACTTGAAGTGGCTGATCAGGTCTTGGGTGGGCTGGGCTGAGCTAAACAGGGCTGAATTGTGCTAAACTGGGCCTAGTGGGGCTCAACTTGTCTGGGCTGAGCTGGAGTGGGCTGGTCTGTAAACTGGGCTGAACTGGGTTAAATTGGGCTGGGACAAGCTGGACTGGGTTGGCCTAAACTGTGCTATGTTGGGCTGGGAAGGGCTAAAATGGGCTGAAGTGTACTGGCCTTGGGTGTGTTGGGCTAAACTGGGCTGGACTGGTCTAAACTGTGCTGTGCTGGGCTAAACTGGGCTGGACTGGTCTAAATTGGGCTTTACAGTGCTAAAATGATCTGGACAGATGTGAATTAGGCTAAACTAGGCTGAAGTGGTCTAAACTGGTGGGCTGGGCTGAAGTGGGCTAAGGAGGGCTCAACAGGGCTAAGGTGTGCTGGATTGGTCTGAATTGACCTAAACCCTGCTGAACTGTGCTAAATTGGTGTGGACTGGTCTGAACTGGGCTAAACTGGGCTGAGCTAAATTGATCTGAACAGGGCTAAACTGGTCTGAACTGGGGTAAAGTGGGCTGGGCTAAACTGGAATGGACTGTACTAAAGTTGGCTGCGATGGGATAAAGTGGGCTAAACGGGATGGGGTGAGCTGGAATTGGCTGGACAGGGCTAAAGTGGGCTGGGCTGAACTGGGGTGAAGTGTCTGAAGTGAGATAAACTGGGCTGGACTGGTGTGCACTGGGCTAAAGTGGGCTGGGCTAAACTGGTGCAAACTGTGCTGTGTTGGGTTATATTGGTCTGAACTGGGCTAAATCAGATGTAACTGGGCTTAACCTGCCTTAACTGGGCAGAACTGGACTAATCTGTTCTGAACTGAGTTAGGCCTGTCTGAACTGGGCTAAAGTGGGCTGGAGTGGTCTGAACTGGGCTAAACTTGTCTGAACTGGGCTAAACTGGTTTGGGGTAGGCTAAACTGGTCTGAACTGTGCTAAATGGTGCTGTGCTTGGCTGCGCTAAACCGGGTTTTCCCAGGTGGCAGGAGAATATTCTTTGAAACTCAGATTTGCCAGAACAGAATTTCCTTGTTCAGCAATCCCAAAATTAAAGAGCTCCCCATCATCCAAAGCCTGAATTCCGTTAAATGCAAAATCCTCTCCCAGGAATGCTGCTGCGATGGGTCTGGGAGTTGCTAAGAGGAGCACCCTTCAACTGGGTTAGGAATGGGAAAAATGGGTTAAAAAAAGCAAAAGAACCCTTAGAATGGGTTAGACATGGACAAAAATGGGTAGAAATGGCCAAGAAACATCTTAAAAGTGGAGAGAGATGGCCAAAAATTGCTTAAATGGGTCATAAATTTCAAAAAATTGGTTAGAAATGGCCCAAAATGGTTTAGAAACAGCCTCCCTCACACAGCATGAGGCTCGGGCTTTCATACTCACAATAATGCACGCTCATTGCGACGCAGGGGGCCAGCCCACGTCACAAGAAGTGGCCAACAATATCTAGCAAGGTCTCCAAGGGTCAGGACCTTTCCAGGCAGTTTTAAAGCAGGACTTTCTGGGAAGGAACCAAAGCTGGACTTTGCATAAAGCAGCCAAAGCAGGACACTCCAGGAAGGAGCCCATGACAACAAACAGTACTTTCCCACCCTTGTGTGTTTCACCACGGACCATTACCTATTCTCTCTGACACAACACCCCGGACTAAAGCCTCACAAATGGCACCTTTTCATCCTGGCATTTAACTCTCAGGCACTACCACTACTAAAACTGACCATTCCCCTCCCAGGCACCTCCAAGTGTGTTCTCAGATATTCTGTCTCAAATACTACATCGGAATGCTGCATCTCAAACCCCTTCCTACCATCCTGACCTTGTCCCCCACCCTCCAGTCCCAACCAGGAGTCCCTCTACTTAGTTTCCATAGTGCCATGGGTCTCCAGCTGGCCTTGATGCTAAGAACACCCCCATCAGAGTCCTGGGATCTTGCTGCAGCTGCCAAGTTCCCCTTTATCACCTGCAAGAAACAAACGAACCTGCATGAGCACCCTGTGCTGGCCATCATCATCACCACCACCACCCCACCCACCGATGCTGGCCTATTCTGTAACAGCCCTCTTTCTCTTTCAAAGCTCCTCAACATTATGTTTCCCTGTTCCAACCTCATAGCAGAGTCTTGACACTGAGCATCTCCTTCTCTCCAGGTCCTAGAAGTACAATAGAGACAAATGACCACAGTGCTTGCAAAAAGTGACCGACGCCACAATCCTTCTCCCTACCTGTCTGACTCACCTCAAGCATGCATCTGACTCCAAAGGGACAGGGCAGGCCCTGTAATAACAAACACAACTACTGAACCCCTTTGCCATGCTCTTCTCAACAATTAAACACCCCCAACACACACAACCCCTTTACCTTCTCACAGCCCTCCTCAGTTTGCAGCTTCACCTCCCTCGAGTTACCTGCAGCAACTAGAAAAGCAATGGGAACATGCACACACTGACAGAGAGATAGAAACTGCACCCTTC